CAGGTCCCCTTGGAGGGGGAGAGCTTGAACTTTGTGCCTGAGCTGCCAAATTGGTTTTCTTAAAACTCTTAATTTACTTTCGGGGCTCCTGGAGCCTCGCCTCCTTCGTTAATTGGATGCTCAGCACTGTGCTTGTGCTCGTTTGGTTTCCGCTCCCTCCGCACACAAGCACACACACCATTTCCAAGGGTCGTCCCAGCTCTGACGTGCAGCTCTTCTGGCCTCACTGCTCCTGCCACCGAGTCAACGGGGGCAGCTGCGCTCATGGAAACCTTGTAGGGCATTTTCCCTTTTAATTTTAAGTTAATTTAGTGCCGATGAAAGGGGGTGATGGACAGGCTTCTGTTTTTCCCCTGAGGAGGGCGAAGCAAGCGAGCATTTGCGGTGCTGCCTGACCCCTGTCATTCAGTGCCCAGCAGAGAGGAAATCTCCCATCAATGCGCAGCTGGTCCCTGCGCTGCTCCCGGCTCCTGAACATCCCACAGCAGTCACGAGTGCAGCAGGTCTCAGCACCTCCTGGTCCCACAGGAAGGGAGCAGCCTGCTGGTTTTGTCTGACAAAGTCTCTCTTTCCTACAGTGTCCCGGTTTTCAAGCCCGCGGGTGACTCCGAGATTAAGCCGAAAACGAGCCCTGTCTATCTCCCCGCTGTCTGACGCCAGCATTGACCTCCAGACAATGATCAGGACCTCCCCAAACTCTCTCGTGGCATATATCAACAACTCCAGAAGCAGTTCAGCTGCAAGTGGTTCCTACGGCCATTTATCTGCTGGGACAATCAGGTAAAGCTCTGAGACTGGCTCTGTTCAGCTGCGTAACCACCCCCCCCGAAAGAAGCGGTGACCCTCCAGCAAGGGAGACCTTCCCTTCCTCACAACCTCTGCTTTAGTACACGGGGACTGTGTAGTGTATTAAATCAAAGTCCCCATCTGGTTTTGCACGTGGAATGGTACTTCGTGGCATATGTGGGGTGGGGGAGTTGCTGAATTGGGATTATTGGTTACCAAGTTTCCAGTAATTACAGTATGATCATGCAAGGAGAAACAGAGAATAAATTTGTCTAACAAAATGTTCATTGTGAGTGGTTGGACTGGTTAAGAAACCCTCTGATTTAAGAGATTGCCTCAAAATATTATTGGCCCACATTCTTTAAAAAAAAAAACAAGTTGCCTGAGCGGATTGAAGAGCCTAATTCTAAAAACATATTTTAAACAAATCTAAGTTTTGCTCAAATCTTAATTAAAAAGCACTTACACTAGGCAGCTCACTGCTGTCAATTCCTGTCGTGATTGCTTCACCCAAGTTTCACAATGTTATTATTCTTTTTATTACTTAACTGTTAAAAATGTTAGATCTAATTAACACTGATGTTGCAAAGCAAGGGTTTATAAAGATCATGCTCTCCTACAATTTGTAGGGGAAAACAGAGACATTGCTATTAGTAACTGTAACATTGGTTTTATCAGTTACTTTATCCAGCAGCATCATTTAGAAATTGACTGTAAAATCAAACATAATGCTAACTTAAACAAATTGCAACTCCTTGTCTGGTAATCGTATTTTTCTAGTCTTTTCACCTGTTGTCATTAACTGGGTATGCCTGTAGCATCTCATCTTGTACTCAGATTTTAAGCTTTTCAGGGTAGCATCTGGTATTTTCAACAAATTTGTAGAGTACAGAGTCCTACCTAATGGTCAGTTGTTGGCCTCTGAGGGAATAATCAAGTGATAATACTGAATTTGACACTCTTCATGGTGTTCTAAAGGTGTATCTTAAATGTCAGGAATTGTTAAATGGGTTACATATTTAACGGGATAACTGTCAGCAATTTGGGACAAAAAGACTTTTTTGTTATTATTTTAACAATGTCTTGGTGGCAGAAATGAAATCCGTTCTCACCCTATCAGACCCAGATCTTAGTAGTGCTTCAGAAAGTCATTTTTGGACTTTGCTGTAACATAGCAAAGCTGTGCAGCAGCCTGCCATCACACCTCGTTTGCTGCAGTACATATTGAACTCCCTGAGCTCTTTTACACTGTAGTGATTTTTGCCCTTATTCTTTTGGTCAAGTTGTCATTAACTGGTTTGGAACAGAAATACTAATTGTACGGTCACCAGCAATAAGTATTTTCTCTAAAAGCAAAATTGGAAATGAAGCGTTTTGCTAATTATGGCCACGTTCTCTGAGCACTCACACCGTGGGCAGTTCTAGTGATGTGAGAGAAAATACCGTGAGTGTAAAGGTTCAAGACAGCCATCTTTTAAAGGTGTCAAATAATCAGTTTTGGGGCTTAGAGTCTACGATTTGTGCATCAGCTGCCTCGAGTACTGGGAGCAGAGCATCTCCCATGCTTCCCCATTCCTGCCAAGGGGACTCACCCCTGGGAGCGAACCCCTTGTTTCCAGAAGCAGCGCTTTGTTTTTAATGCTGTTGACTGCTGCATCCTGGCTGGGACCTGTTGCCCCCAGTTATCACCCAAGCAGCCAGGACCGGTGGTGTTTCTGGTCACCACTGACCTAGATTGGAGCTGAACCAGTGACCTACATATGAAGGGTGACATACTTCAGCAGTCCCCTGAGCCAGCACTCCACTCACTTGAATGCAGAGTAGATTGCATGGTTTTGGACTATGTTAAATGGATAGTTATTCATCCCCGCTGTGATTTGTGCCAGGTGAGCCAGGTGATGCTGGTTTTTTATATCCAGGGTAGCATAACCCCAAGGTTGTGAGTCTGCAGAACAGGTCAGCCTGGGAAAACCCAGGAGTCTTGGGGGCTGCAAAGCCAGATGCGTCCAAGTCCCATCCTCTCCTGCACTCCCTGCCAAAGGCTTTGGCTGTTTTTTAAACATAGGAAGCAAAGAAATTACAATCAGTCTCATACGTGGGTTGAAATGATTCACAAGTTTGCTGAGGCACACACAAGACAAATCCTGTCTTTGCAGTAAAGCAGGCTGTCAGGCTTATCGTGGCATTGAAGGTGTCTAGCTGAGGCATTGCAGCCTGTCTCCTGGAGTCTCCAGGAAGCCAAACTTGAATCAGTCACTAGCCAATGTGATAAATATTGTTTAAAATAACTCCTCATAAGTTTTCTTCCTCCTATTGCTGCAGCCCGGCGTTCAGCTTCCCCCACCCCATTAACCCCGTGACGTACCAGCAGATCCTGACCCAGCAGAGAGGCCTGAGCTCAGCCTTTGGACACACTCCTCCCCTGATCCAGCCATCCCCGACCTTCCCCCCACGGCAGCACATGGCGGTCATCTCCGTCAACCCCCCGCCAGCACAGATCAGCAGCAACAGCAACTGCATCTCTGACTCCAGCCAGGTAGGGATGGCCATCCTGGCCCTCTCCACGCATGGTACATGGGGAAATGGAGGCACGTTCTCCATGGGATGAGTGCTACCCTTCATAGTGGCTGTGGGAGTTTTACCCACTCTCTTTTTACTCATGCTCACCCTTTATGTTGCTTTTTCTTCCTCCTGGCAAAGCATTTCTGGACTAGTCACAGACAAATTTTGTGCCCTTGCACACGAACGTACCCACCCATGCAGGAACCTAAGGCTTTGATCCATCAAAGGATTGAACATGATATGCAGGGTCATCTCAGGCAGCAAATCTCCTTGAACACATCTTATATGCTATTGAAACAGAGGGAATTCAGCATATGCTGGAGTGCTTTGCCAGATAAGCACCCAAGCACTGTGAACCAAGCTTCATCAGTTCTTTCACCAATCCCTCCTTCCTTTTTTTACTGATATGAACCATGCTAATAGTCTTAAAACTTCTTATTCCTTTCCTCTTTAACAAATAAGTGCATCCTACCTAGGACCTCTAGCAGTTTTACTTATTGTTCCTTCTTTTTCAGTAGCTTTCTCTCTCAGGATATCCTTGCTGTTGATTTTTGCTGTTAAGATTTGCCAAACCAGGGGCCAGATTTTGAAAACTAGGAATGCCATGATGTGTATGAAATCCCACACCTCAAATGCATCCTTGCAAAGACCTGTGAGTTCACACAGGTGCATGCATGTGTGCCCAAGCCCTCCACATGCACAGGTTTAGTGAATATGTCTAGCACATTTTTAATAATTTTTCCTTCCCGTTTTCACTCCTTGGAAGTTTAAATTGAAGTTGCTTTTCTTCCCAAAGACTTATTTCACCTCATTTCACACCCATTTCAAATTGTTGTTTTAGTTGTATCATACTGAACTTTTCAGACTAGTTTATTGTTTTAGGGTTTCTCATGGCTGCTGCACTGCAAACTCTGTTTGTTATTGAAGGTTATTTGATTGATTGGTTTTGTTTTCTCCTCACAAACTGGCTACCAAAATAATGTGGCTGGCAGGACTTACGCCTCTGTTTAATAACTTGCAGGACCAATCTTGAGCAATTAGCAAGAGTGTATTTAAAATGTTAGTGTTCCAATTTTATGCACATACAATGGCATGTTTTTTTCTCCTGAAGTTATTCTCATTTTTTAAGAGCTTAGCAAAATATACACATAGCCTTTCATTCACCCAGCACGCCGAAGCCCTTGCATGTAACCAGAGCCCCCCGCTCCCCCCCAGGAATTAATTTTCTCAACAAATCATTTCATTGCATTGAGAAATAAATTCGTTGCTTGGGTGGGGGTTGCATAAGGTTTTGATGGCTTTGACAGGGACTGGATCACTCTGAAACGGAGCAGCAGTGGCAAGGCCAAGCTCACTGGTGAGCCTGCAGAAGCTGACACTGTCCTTGACTCTTCCCTCTCTTCCATCTCTTCTTTGCAGAGCTTTCATGTACTTTTCATGTGAAATCCAGGTCAGCAGGCTGATACCCCGTTGTCCCCGGCCACTCCTAAAGTTCAACCTTGACTGATTTTTTAGTTAACTTTTAATGAAGATGTGGGCTGCAGTCAGTCTTCCATCCCAAACCCCAGTGCCATATCTCACCTGGTTTTCTTCCCCAGAGCAAGCAGAACAGCGAGTCGGCCGTGAGCAGCACAGTCAATCCAGTAATTAACAAGCGCAGCAAAGTCAAGACTGAAGTCGAGGGCTTGCCCCCAGCGTCCCCAACCACACAGGTAACCTTCTTGGTGCAAGGCGTGTTGTGGGGCCGAGGCAGCAAGCTGCTGGGTCTCATCCTTGAGAATGATACTCTTGGCACCTTTTGCTGCAGCTGGGAGCAAGGCATCAAAGTCTGCCAGGCAGGCAGGTGTCTCTTGCAGCAGGAAACCCAGCAAGGTACAGGGCAGAGCTGCAGTGACTGAGTGAAGCATTCGATGGGTGCTTGGGACTCAGCTTGCTGTTGCTGTGCTTGGATAGAAAAGGAGGGAAGGAATATTTCAAGCGTGAATACTTTAAAAATGCTGTCTGAGTTTTCTGTGCTGCAAAGCAAGCAGCATTGGTGTCTCAGAGCAAACATAGATTACAAGGGAATCTTGCATGTAGGTAGAAAGCTTGAAAAAAAAAGGACAAATTCTTGATTCAACAAGGAATTGCTCCTAGAAACATCCTTTACACTGGTGACACAACATTTGACACCAAGAAGGGCCCAAAGGCCTTTACTTTCTTTCCAGAGGTCTGTGATTGCAAACTGTTTAATGGCTGACAGTATCCATCTGACCATCCTTTATCACAACTGTAAACTATCAGAAGTGCTCCGGGCACTTCATTTTCATGAAATATTAGGCTGTGTTATTGTCAACTGAATGGAAGAGTTGATGACAAATTTCTCCTTCTGCCCTAGTTCAGGAGCAGGTCTCAGCATGATGCATGGGGACAGCAACGTGTGCAGTCATCAGGGGGCTGGTAAAATTGATGAAGATAGCATATCAGGGAAAGATAAACATGCTGTAGTCAGCACGATTAGGGCAAAGAGGCATATCTCTGGAGCTTTGAGTTTAGGACTGCATCTACACGCTGCTGCAAAAGCACATGCCTCAAAACAACAATCTGGTCACCACCCGGGCTAATAGGTCCATGTGTTTATTTCTTGCGGCAAATGAAAAAAGATTTGAAAGCCATCACCTGCTTCCTCAGAGCATCTGTAGCAGAAGAGCTGTGGGACAGACAGCTGCTTGCTCGATGACTGTCATCCTCCTTTCTCTGCTCCAATCTGAGGAGGTGTGTGCCCAACAGCAGGGAGTGTTTGGGTAGCATCAGCCTGGCACGGCCCTGCCCCAGAGTTTCATCCACTCAGCCTTATGTGAAATAAGCACTGAAAGAAGGGGGAGAATGATTTAAAGTGGTGCGAGGAGGCTTGATTAGAATGGCAAGGTGAAATTAAGAGAAGGAAAATGCACACTGGTCGTCTAATAGTTCCTAATGAGGAGATCTGTGAAGTAATACCCCAAGGGAAATGTAGACTTCACGTCTTGCAGCGTTTCAGTGTTGACTGGGAAATTACTGGAAAATACCTTGAAAGAGACAGCCCATTCTTGGCAAGGAGAACAGGTTATAAGACTGAATGTAGTGGGTGTCTCCTCTTCAGTTGGTCTGAGCGACAGCAACTTGTTAAATTTGGAGATTCCTGTTCTGCAGGAGACTGTGCTGAAAAGTTGAGTTACAGTCAGTTAATTATTGACTGATACATTTTTTGCAGAGTATGAAGCTCAGCCATCCCAAAAAAAGCATGCATGTGTGTGTTTTGTTTTGGAAATGCTGTGCTGGAAACGCCTCATGTGAGTTGTGGTTTGGGTGTTTAAAATCCTTGGCGAGACAGTATCTCCCATGATGGCTTGTGCTGTAAAAAATGCATCTAGACAAGATTTGTGAGACACAGTGGAGCACCAGGCATGAGAGACCTGAGTTACTGTGCTCTTACGATACCACAATAGCTCCAGTACAGATTCAGATTAACATTGAACTAGCCAGAAATGAAACAAGTCAATCCTCTTGAACAAACTAAAATGGTGTCAATTCCATTTTTCCAACAGAAAGTATAAAAATTTTGGCAAAATAAGATATTTATTAGAAAATTTTACTTTTCCAGAGACAACATTTTGCATGGAGAGAAATGTTTCAACAAAAATAATGTTCACAGCTAAAACCAAATAGGAGTTGCAGGAAAAAGAAGCTGCTATTTGAACTTTCTCAGACTGTTGCTCTGGGCTCTGATATAGTTTGAATCTCCAGAAGTCTTTCTGTAAATTACTAGAGTTTCCTCTCCCAAGAGCCACCTTACAATTTTATTTTTTTTTAAATTATGAGCTAATTAAAACAAATGTCTTCCTCTCCATATCTAAAGTTTTGAATTGAAAAGTCACAGCTGGCATGTATGTCATGAGCTAGTTAATGAAAATTGTTGAACTTACGCACAGTACATCTCACTTTCCAAGCCATATAATGCCATTAAGTCATTAATCATTGCAGCCCCTCAGTAGGCATTGGGAAGGTGTTGGTGGGGAAGGAGATGGCAGCCAGATAGGTTTTGGGCAAGTCAGAGGCAGTTTGAGACAGGTCTGGCTGTGTCTACACACTTACAGGGCCAACTGGAGCATCAGATCATGAGGAACGGCATCTGATGTGGTCAGTCACCCCAGACTTTGCTGTCTAAAGTTGCCCTGGAGGCGGGACGCTCTGTGCTGGGCAGCAGGAGTAATTGGGAGGAATGGGAATGAAGGGTGTCAAAACCTGCAGGGTTTTGTATTGCTAAATTCCCAAGCCACTATTGACTGCTGATTGCCTTGCCTGTAGTGCAAGTGTCTGACACACGCAGAGCCGACAGCTGTCCTTACCTCTGAATTGTACTAATTATGTTGTATACTACGCTATTGTGTACGTGCCGATGCTTTAATCCTCATAGCAGCTATAAGAAAATCTTCTGTGCTTCATTTAGCACTGAAGAGCTGGCTAGACAGAGAAGTTAAGGAGAGGGCTCACAGTGTGCCCAGCATTAACTCATTTATGAGTCCAGAGCCCCTGGAGCTCTGCTCTGCAACCCACTCATCATTGGGTCTTGCTCAAGCTTCCCAAATTTCCCTGTCTCAGAGGAGTGCTTTGAGGGCTCACCACTTTGTCCCTGTGGAGCACCCTGAAGGTGTAAATCTTTACGTAAGGATTGGGTATAATTTGCTCATCTGTGGAAAGATGCAGAAAAATGAAACCCCTCTCCTCAACCCATGGGTAAGCGTGGTAACCACTAGGCTCTGACTGCTCTGTGGTTTCGTCATGCTCATATTCCCCCACTACCCCCAGATCAGAAGTTTTGCTCCAGCAAACACAACCAAAGGTGAAAAGCCAGCCTTTTCCTTTCTCCAGCCTTTCCTGGGACTGCCCACAACCTGGCTGGAGCCAGGCGCTGCTGTGACCATGGCTTCAGGGTGTTTCGTGTCTTGTCATTAACTCTGATCCATTTCTACCAAAACTCTGTAACTCATTATTTCACAGTAATCAAGGATGTTATGTTGCCACAATGAGCAGAGTTTTGTGATCAGTTGATACCTGCCCTGTAATCTATGAGTGACGAAGGAATTCAGATGAAAGAAGTTCACCTTATACAATGCACTGTTGTGTGTTGCAGGAGCATCTGACAGACCTGAAAGAAGATCTAGATAAGGATGAATGTAAACAGGAGCCTGAGGTTATTTATGAGACGAACTGTCACTGGGAAGGGTGCACAAAGGAATATGACACTCAAGAGCAGCTCGTCCATGTGAGTAATGGTTGGGAGGAAACCCCAGCGATAAATTTGGGTTTCTGTGCACTTGTCCTCATTTTTTATCACTAGCTGCTGTACAGCCAGAGCTCACTCTGGGAGCTACTAAAGGTGCAAATCAGAGATACGACGTATAAACACCGCCAAAGCAGGTCGCTGCTCCCCGAGGAGTTCAGCTGCAGGAAGCCTCTCATAGATTATTTGATGTTGCTCTCTTCTCAGCTGCTGAGGCTGCAGTTTCAGTCTCCCTCGTGCATGACCCAGTGACAGAAGGCTCCGTGCAGAGGACCTGATCAAAAAATTGGGAAGGGGGCTGAGCCCTTCCCTCTTCCCTGGCCATAGTCACTGAGCCTCCACACACACCTACACCAGCTATGGGCCAGGTCCATACTGTCCTCAGTCCTTGTCCAGGCCACAAAAACCTTTTATGGTGCTGTGGAGCCATATCACTTAGGGGCTGTTGACCTGCTCAGCTCATCCCTCCCACAAAAATAGAGCACTTCTGGAGTTTTGAGACATGCTCCAGTGTCTCCATCAGGGCCCGAAATAGAGAAAGTGGGTTGATTTTTTGAAAATTGGGAAATGGGGCTTCCGTAATCACAGTGATGTCCCTAAACCGGTGTCAAAACTGCTCTCTGAAGGATCCCCAAACTAAGTCATTAATCAGATTTTCAGTTCTAATTAATTCCAAGAACCTTTTGTGTGTTTTGCTTCACCTGGGAATCCAGAGTATGGTTTCCTTTGGCTTCTGGGGTCAACAAATCTCTCAAACTTGGAATGAGTACCTATGAAATCAGACATGATCTGTGTCTGAGCCACATCTTGTCCCCAGCCCAGTCCTCATTTTGGGTCTGTGATGCGAGTCCCATTTGTTTGAAGCCAGCCCAGAGCTGCTGGGAATTCACCAGCCCCAGAAACCCTCCTGCTTGCAGCAAAATGTTGGATTGAACAAATTTTGCAACAGGCCCTGCTATCTTCTCCTTTCCCTTCAGCCTTTTGCTGCTTGCCTCGGCCAGGCTCCAAGCCTGCCAGGGACCACTCGTGCAACTCACATGTAGCCCTTTTCCTGAGGGCTCGTATCCGCTCTCACCCCTCTTTCTATTAGTCATGTTTAGATGCCACCAAGTAGGTGTCAGTCTCTGTTTCCCCAAGCTCTGCACACAAATATTATCTCAGCCTGGAGGGACCACACTCTAAATGATAATTTTGGGCATGTGCTCTTCTTCCATCTAAGACTAGTACATGCCTGCTTCTGCCAGAAGTCAGTGGTTCAGGTGCAACAAGTCCTTGAGTACAGACAGATTTGGAAGTGGTTTTCAGGGCCAAATGAACGATAAGGAGCTTAATGGGTTGCACATTGCATGCCATGGGATGTTGCTTTTCTGGGGTTAAACCACAGCAGCCCTGTCAGATGGGCTGGGCTCACATTTGTCCAGCAGTATTTGTGTGTTTCCCTCTCAGACGTAAGAAAAACTCTTTAACTCTGCCCAGAGCAAAATGCAGGGCAAGTTTAGGCAGCTCAGCACAATTTATTTCCAGAGAAAACCCAAAGAAAAATATTTGACAGAATGTCCCAAGATTTTCCTAAATTTGGAAGGTTATAAAGACAGAGGCTTCTGTACTATGATTAGTAGTAACATGGGGTTGTGGATTTGAGATGCCCAAAATACACATGCAAATGAAATACAGATGTCGTGGGCCAACTTCTGAGAAGATGGCATCCCACCATGCATGGAAAAACTCTAGTTTGTGTGCAGAGTAAAGTACCTGGGCGTGCAGAGTCCGTTCTCCATACACAGTGGGCAATGTGCTTGTGGGAGAAGTCCATGTCAACGGGGAGCAGCAGGAGTGAGAACATATTTTTCCAAGCACCACTGCTGCTCCCAGCCTCAAAGGTTACACTCAATTTGAGAGAAGCCCAAGCAAAGTCATAGGGCTGTGGACCTACGACTGAAGTGTGGTGAGTTGTGCAACTGCTCCTTCACTGTGTGATGGGAAGCAGCTGTTGCCCAAACAATGAATTAATAAGCCTGAAGCAGGGGCTACAGTCCCCTTCTCATAAGTGTGTCTTCCTCTGGCCCAAGCTGGACCAAATGTCTGAGCCTGCGCACTGCCATGCATAGTCTTGGTTGCAAGTCAGACTTCCACACAAACAGAGGCAGGAGATATATCTTCCCGGTCTAGTCTGGACGTGGTTTTGTGTGTCCTTGGGTGTCCTTGGGGATTCACCAGATTTCTACCATCTGAGGCTAAAATCTCACACTGATGCCATGTTATAAAACCAGAACTGTGGGCAGCTGAGCTCCAAACACATATGAAACATCTCCCAAACCCAGCCTCCCCCGACCCTCCTGGCACACAGCTTTGGCTCTCGATGTTTACCCATGGCATCCGAGGAACCAGCTGAGGTACCACGCACCTCGTCTTGGCCCTGGGTAGTCCTGGTGCCCCAAGCAGCCGGTCCCTGCCCCCAGGACTGGGCCATGGCACCCAAAACACTGGGTCTAGATTCAGCTGGGACTGTGAAGGTCAGTGATTCTGTTTTAATGCATTTTTATGTCCTTGTGCTGCCGCACCACCCCGAGAAAGTCTCATCCTGAGCCACAACATGTGTGCCTGGCCTTGGCTGGGGGGACGAAGGCGGGGGCTGGAAAATAATCTCAGCGCAAAAAAAAAATAACAAAACCCAAGCCCAAAGTGGTTTATTTTAGGATTTCCTGTCAGTGAATGTCTGCTGAAAACACAGGAGCGAGGACAGGCATTATTTTTGGCAGTGAGACCCCATTCAGAGAGACAAGGCCACCACAGGAACAGTGCTGGTGATGGGCTGGTCTCCGGCTCTGTTTATTTTCGGCAGGGTTTCATCTGCCCTGGGCTGGGAAAAAGCAACCCTCATCTTCCTCCCAGGGTGGATGAAGGCACTGTTCTCGGTCTGGCTTTTCAACACCCCAGCACAAGATTTCATAAACCCGAGTAATTAGCAGTAATTGAGACCGCCGAGCTTTCCTTGGCGCATAGCTCATGGATGCTGTCATTTCCTGCCAGCCGCCAGCGCTGGACAGCAGGTGGATGTCTTAGGGCCGGCGTATGGTCTGGTGTGCAAGCAGGCTTAGAATCATAGAATCATTGAGGTTGGAAAAAGACCTTTAAGATCATTGAGACCAACCAAGGCTTGTCTCCTCCTCTCCTCCATCCTCCAGCAGCACTCCAGGAAAGGGTTCCCAGCTGTGTAAATGCAGCACAGGAGGTTTCAGCAGAGACAAAAATGACTTTGTCATCCTCCCCAATGGTGGCATAAGGCAGCCTGAGAGACACTGAGAGGGTTCCTCACCCCCATGGGTCTCCATTGCTTTTGCAAACATCCCATTGATAGCTGCTTTGGACCCAACGCCCTGTGTGCTGGGTGCTGCGTGCCTTCTCCTGCAGGACACACCAGACCACAGAGCTGGGTCCTGTGTCCCTGCTGTTATCTCTGCACCTGGGACCCAGGTGCAATGCCTGACCACAAGCACTGGGAGGGAACAGCTGGCTTTCGGAGGACTGTGTGTGCTTTGCTTGGCATCAGCTCTTCCAGGAGTGACCTGCTTCTCCCTTCTCTCCTACCAGCATATCAACAATGATCACATCCATGGGGAGAAGAAGGAGTTTGTCTGCCGCTGGCAGGACTGCACGCGGGAGCAGAAGCCCTTCAAGGCTCAGTACATGCTGGTGGTGCACATGCGAAGACACACCGGAGAGAAGCCACACAAGTGCACGGTGAGCTGGCAGGGGCGCACGGTGCATCTCGGCTTGGCAGACAGGGCCTTGGACTTTGGCAGTAACAGAAATGTGTGCGCAGATAGAGGCATGACTTCAAGCAGGACTCTGCAAGGGTACCCGTTGGCACCCAGCTCAGGGCCAGTCCAGCTCTCTGTGTCTGGGTTATAGGTTATATATTGCAGGTTACACCCTGGGGACAGGGCACATGGCCAAGGAGGAGGGTGGTCAAGGTGTTAGTGAGCAAAACTGCATTTCCTTGGGGAAAGTGAGTTCAGCTCTACCACAGAGATCCAGAGTGACTCAGGAGAAGTAAACATAGGTGGAAAAACAGCCAGTTTAGTTGCTTATATCCAAGAAGGATGCCTTCTTTCCTGCCTTCTCCTCCTGCCGGTTTTTCATACCTCCTCTGCTGTCAGCATTACACTGTTTCTCTCCCCAGAGTCTCGGCGATGAGTCTGTCTTTCTGCTCGGCAGATGTCTGAGCCCTCCTCCCGTATCTTCCTTCTCTTCTGCTCCATTAGTCACTTCCAGCCCTGCTCCCTCCCTGGCTCTGCCCCAGCTCCTGCTTACAAATATTGGGATATGTATGATTTGCTTGCTGTATGACTTCTTTATCAATCTTCCAGGCCTGTGTTCATTTAATTTAGAAGATAAGCTCCCTGGGGCATGGGGCCATGTCCTTTGTTTTAATCTTCTAAAGCACTTTGCCCAGTTCTAGCACTTTACCAATCTTCCTTAAAAGTATCAAAGCATATTGATTGTCAGTGTGCTACGAAGTGAGCAGCAAGGGAAAGGCTAGCCCTGCCCTTGCAGGTAGAGAGACTCCAAAGACAAAAAGCATCAGGGACTGCATCTTCTTCAGTGCTGTAATGGAGCAGGAAAAAGCTGCTCGGTCCTGCCTCTTTCAGGCCTCAGTTGTCGCACTGGAGCAATGGCAAGGCTGTGTGATTTTGAGTCTCAAGTCATCCTCTGCCTGCTGGAGGACTGCAGTCCCTCCATGCGCGATATGTCACAGCAACTCTGCCTGAACTGGAGTTTCACCAGTTCCCAATTGCCTGGGATACACGGCAGCTCTGTAGACAGTGCCCTTCTTTGGCAAAGCATTCCTTGTCCAAGTCTGGCAGTGATGTTTTCAAAGCGCAATTTTTTTTCAGACAAGAAGTTTGTGGTGTACATGAAGTTACAGATGAGCCCAATAGCAGCCTGGGATTTGGTCAAGGGTTATTTCAACAGATGACAGCCAGAAGTCCCACTGACATGATCAAATCCACGCATAAGAGTGGGAACAACTGCTTTGAACATGCACAGGCTGCTTTGCTGAGAAGCTCTTACTTCAAAATGGAGCCAGAGTACTTTTGTTCTTAATAACTGCATTTTTTGTGTCAATATCCAACAAAACCAGAATGCGCACATGAGTTGTCTTGTGCTGAGTTTCCTTTGTTTTCTAGCAAGTGGAATGATGTATTTCAGTAACCGTAAGCAACTGGAATTGTAAAGGACTGTTTGCACAGGGCAAGAGAAGAAAGGGGTATACTGTGCTACTTCAAGGCTATGGCATGTTCTATGGGCCAAATGGGCTAATGAAAGTTGTCTGAAGAAGGGGAACTGGATTCATCCCACCCCAGCAAAGCTGCAGAAGGAATCAGCTCTTGAAGGATGCTCCTATTGTCCTTGAAGAGATCTGGGTATCTCAAGGGGGCAGAGCAAGTTTGCCTTACATCCACCACCCCCATTCCAGACCTTAAAGGGAACCCTAAGTAACCCTACTTATTTTCCAGCACCACAAAGTTATACGGGATCAACTTGTGCCTCCGTGCTTCGTGGGTTTCATGGGCTGCATGTTTGCCTCACTCCTTAGCAGTGCAGGTCAGTCCTGTGCCTGTGGAGCACAAGGAGACAGGTACCGTTGCTATTGCATGCAGCTGCCTTTGGCCTCTGCCCAAAAGGGCCAGATCTCTGGACACGTAAGACCACTCAGCTGCCCACGGGGAAATCAGACTCTGAGCTGTGGCATGACCTGTTCTGATATGACATCAGTTTCTTCACTGGTCAAGGCTCAAACATAGCAATGTGAAGTCCTGTCACATCTGGACTGAACTTGTAGACATGTTTAAATGATCTGACTAAAATTCAACACCTTGTGGCTTGCATACTTTACAACAGGAGGGGCTGCTTGTTAAAATTTAAAGTGCATAGGAAGTACAGCATGGGCTTTTCAACACTCCCAGCTGAACAGCAAGTGCAGCATTTAGCTGGAATTTGGAAGGGAGCCTTGCATTTCTTAAAACCTCTTCCAGTGTTTGTAAGTTCCCACTTGTTTCATCAAAGAGCATTTAAGGCAGCCTCCTTGGTTTGAGGTGAAATCCTCCCATGCTGCAGACAGGGCAGGTGCAGGGAGAAGCCTCCAGCCCAGCCAGAGTGGAGGGAGGCAGGATTTACATTACCCAAAGCCTCACCATGTCTACCAAGCTGCTCCTTCTCGTTGTGTGGGCAGCTGGTTTCCTTCCAGGAGGAAGGTTTCTGGCCTGTTTGGTCATCCAAAAATCCATCTGTCTTCAAGATTGAGAGTCTTGTTTTTAAAACTGGTAATGTCAGACAGCCTGACCACAGCATCCTCCGAGAGTAGACCCAAGCTGTAATTTGGGAAACTTCAAAGCTTGCTAGATTTCTGCTTGTGTGTTAGAGAATGGTCTGGCCTTTCCAGCACTGGTGCTAGCGAAGTTGCAAGGCTGGTCAAACTGTCAAGAAGCCATCAGTTCTCTGGGTAGGAAGGAGAGGGCCTCTGTTTCTGAGTGGGTTAGCTGCAGAGGGATGGCAGGAGGGGCTGAGAGTGCCCTGTGTGGAGCGGAGGGGTGTTCAGCCCCCCTGGAAAAAAGAGTCTCTTGTTGAAATGTCAGGTGTGTACCCGACAAGGAGCAGCACCTTAAATATGAGTCACTGCTGAAACTCTCAGCCTGCCTAGGGAAGCGAATTCTCCCAACAAAGTGGATGTTGTTCCCTAAAACACAAGCCCTTTAAAGGGAAGAAAAAAAGGAAGAATGAGAAACAGATGAGAAAGGTTCAGGCAGGGGGAAACGTGAATTTTTCTGGTTAATTAATCACTCCTCTTGTGTTTTTTTTATTTTAGTTTGAGGGTTGCTCCAAAGCCTATTCCCGCCTGGAGAACTTAAAGACACACCTGAGGTCCCACACTGGAGAAAAACCCTACGTCTGTGAACACGAAGGCTGCAATAAAGCCTTTTCCAATGCCTCGGACAGAGCCAAGCACCAGAACAGAACGCATTCCAATGAGGTAAGCCTGGGCTCACCACAGCTCAACGGAGGACTTTTTTTTTTTTTTTAATTTTGCTGACAATAAACATACACTTTACACGCCGGACTCATGTAAAAAGAAACCTACTGTAATGAGAGGTTTTTCTTATTTTTTAATGGGATTTATTTTGCTGGAGAGCCAGACCACATTAGCTTTATATTTATGAAAGCCATGTTTGAAATCATAAACAGATGTTAAAGTATGCAAACTTTTTAATCGGCTTTGGAAATTAAAGCAAGCATTTTCCAAATTTATAATTTTTAATAGCACAAATAGGATTGTACAGTTGTGCATGTGGTGTTTAATATTACTGTGGAGCAGACTTGCAGTAGTATAACAGCTACTCTGGATCCTGACGCTCTGGAAATAATACTCCCTCCATCGTTTGATGTACAATGATAGAGCACAATGCAATGCTTTGTTAACCTTGGCTAATTAAGATCCACTATTAGTAGTTGGGAAGCGGAGGAAATTGCCTTTATTGTAATGCATGTGATGGTCTGTTGCAATCAACCACGGCCGACGATTGAAATTTATATTACCACTAATTAGCTGACAGGGGAAGAAAAAACAACACTCCAAAGTTCTAATAGTGTTTGCAGCCATGAAGAATTCAGTCTGTAGCCTAATTTGCAACAGTTAAATATAGACTGTTGGAGAATGGAACACAATTGCCATGGATGACAGCTTTTTAAAGTGATGGTGTGTCTACAAAGGGCGTGTTTGGAGTATTTCTGTCTCTGGCATAGTATCAGTCAGCGATAACCAAAACTCTGTAGGTTTCAGAGATTCTGTTGGAGTCAGACTAAGGACTCAAAGACTAGGATGCCCTTCCATGCTGTGTGATGCTGAGATGGAACCGATGAATGACCTGGATCCCAGTGTTGTTTAAATTGGTTTGGGTATGAACCCAAACATCAGGTTTGTCCTTCACCAGTGAGCCGCTTCCCCAGCAGGACAGGTTAAAATTAACCCATATCCATATTAGCGCTGGGTAGTTTGGTGTTGGTTTAAGGCTACACCAGCCTTAAACACAGGAGGGAACATGCAACCTCTCGTCTGCTCAGCAGCCTGCTTTCCCAGTAGCTGGTGTTTGACTAAAAGATCATTTGCTCTTTGTTAAAGCTTCTTTCCCTGAAAGGCAGGCAGTCGCAATTTAATCTCACATTTCAGTTACTAGAAATTGCTTGTTTTCCAGCCCTGAATGCTTCTCTGCTTTCCTCCAGTGCTGGATCCAATGTCCCTTTCATTGTTGCTATTTCCACCTCATAACATTACAGTGTTAAGTCACTCTCTATCTTCTTTCTCATAAGCTAAATAAGACAATTGAGCCACTGAAGATTCCCATTACTGCAGCATTTTTTCCTGTCCTTAAATCAATTTTTCATCTCTCTTCCATCCCTAAGGATTCTGATGTGGATGGATCACAACTGCTGGTACAACTTTCAGTGCTGAGTACAGACTCACTCTGCCCAGTTTGTGCACACTGAAGCAGTGTGTGAGCTACTTTCTGCCTGTTGATCACTTGAGCTTGGATCCATAGAGCTTTTCCGGGTTCTTTCCTAGGCAGGCCAGAGTTTCCCTTCTGTTGGGCCAGCTGGTGTCCCATGTTCCCACATGTGGAATTTTGGCTTTGTCTGTATTATTAAATGTCATTTCTTTGATGGGTTCAGTTTCCCAAGTGACCCAGATCAGGAGCTGCACTGGATCTGGGATGACTCTCCACTTCATCTGAGCAGAGCTTGGACACACTTGAAGGTCTGCTCCTTTGGGGTCCCATTGTGCAAGAAGGTGAGGCTGTAGGGCAGGAGCATCCAACTCCTTGTCTATGGTGGACCCTGATCTAATATGCTGACACTTGGCACAGACTGCATCCAACAAGATGAATTAAAGACTCAGATAACAGATAGGGATTTTATCCTCTGCTGTTGCTTCCCCTGGAGGATGCCAAAGCCTTCTCAGGGACAGAAACAGCATAGCCACTAGTGGAGGATTTGTACCAGACCAGCTGAGCCTTACCATGGGAACTATATGGCACTGTAAGATCTTACATTTTGTGATGATGCTCACTCCTGAACTGTTATTAAACCCTTCTTAATGCAACACAGGCATACTCCAAGACTTGTGGGAGATCTGTAGGTTGCATATAATAGCACTCTGGGCCATATATGTGACACACTCTTTTTGAGGAACATATAACATTATCCTTTGCAACAGATGACATCCCTCATGGCAAAGCTCATTGCATTGGGCAGCAGGCCCAGGTGAGGGTCCTGCAACCAGCTGTGGCCATGACCAGTAGGTTAGCAAACTGCACTGAGACCTTGGCTCACAAAACCATATGGATGCAAAGCAGGAGTTTGTGGCTATGAATATTTCCCATATTGGTAACTCTATTGTGGTTCCTAGACACCTACTAAATATTTTCCTCTGCTTGCAGTGTTTACTTGGGATACACCGCAGTTTCAGAGTTAGTCACCCATGTCTCCTCTAAGGAGGGACTTCCAGGTTCCCTGTGTTTGTCTCCATCATTGTGTGACAGCACGTAGGTGTATGGTCCAAACATGCTGAAGTTCAAGGCTGGGGATATATTACCACATTGGATTCTGTTTGATTGTTGAAATGTCATGTGCACTATCTCATTTTAAACTTTCAGTGATTATTTGAATCCCTTCAGGGGATACTTTCAAAGTTACTCCTGGGAAAAAAGCTTTAATCCTGTGAGCACTCTCCAGTGCATGTACAAGAGTGGCATGAGTTCACAGCCAGCCAAAGGCTTGGAGTGGCATTTTCTCCAATTCAAGCTAAACAAGGGTAAAATGCAGAAATTCAGTTCTGCTGAGTGCCTGGGGACTTCTGCATTTCTCCCACTCTAAGGAGTATCACGCTGAATATGTATGGGAGTAGGAGGGAGGCATCTGAGATATCTAAACTGTTGACTTCACCAGGGCATACGCTGCATTAGATATCAGGATCTGGGTGACCCAGGGGGTGTATGAAGGCATGCCAACAAAACAGCATTTGTGCACAGTTCAGTTGCAGGAGGTAGGGCGTGATGAAGAGGATGGTTGTACCTCATTAGGTGGAGTGTCTGCTCTCCAAGCAACAGTGATGATGTTACTCTGATTACTAGTGTCTGAAAAATCAGAACTATTGGGCCTGAAGGGTCTTTGTAAAAATCTTTGAACTGTTTTATGTAAGGGTTTTTAGCATGTGTGGTGGGGGTTCTGTTCTTTAGAATAGGTTTTAATAGAAGCAATAATATTTCCATAATGCCTCATCCAAAAGGTTGCATGAGATTTATAAACAATTTTACTTTTTGTGCCTTGGTTTACCCAGCTTTAAAATATATTAAATATTTACCCTCAGTGGTGTGTTACGAGGATTTAGTTTGTTCAAGTGATGTGCCAAGATCAGTCAGGAAGCATGCTTTTGAATAAAAACCAGACTTTCAGTGTTTTTCATGTGATGATGCTGCTTTCTGCAAAGAATATATGCTCCTTTGTATTTTTTCACTTAAGCTTCTGGACAAAATTACAAAACAGATTTAAAAAAAAGAATAGGAATGGTCATTTTGGGTAGCCTTCAAACAACATCTATCTGGTTTTTTTCATGGATCTATTCCAATGCGTTGGCAGAAAAATACTTAGAGTAGCTGTGAGGCTGAAAGCGGAACTTGTGATGAATTCAGAGCTTCCAGCGCAGCAGCACCAGCTCAAACAACTGCAGCGCTAATACACTTTGGAATTGGAAACTCAATACAAAAAAAGTTAAAAGAAGAAAAGTATCTGTTTGCTGACTTCTGTTTTCAGAAGTATGGCTTCAGCCTTGTTTTCCTGTGGCAATCAATGATTCATGAATTCAGGACTAGAGTGCTATCATCTGAAAAAAACATTGCATGCCTGTGGTTTGTTTTGCACAATAACAGATTTCAAGGTGACAGGTGCTGGAGTGGTAAGATAGATTGGGTAGGGTGAATCCAGTCTGGCTTGGTTTCACTGGAATTCCATCAGCCAGAAGGTCTCAGACATTTTCTTGGTGTAGACCCCACCTTAGCAGAGAGAATGTGTTATGGCCAGTCCTCTACATCACCTCCCTCCCATCCATAATCAGGAAACATTCCTGTGGCCACCCGAGCAAATACATACATGGAAAAGTAATATTAGGAAAGTATTTCATGAATTCTTAGTTGTCTTTTAATCCAGAAACTGAAAACAAGGAGTTTAGCCAACATGGAATAACTGGCCGGATCTGTGTGGATCAGCCGCAGCCCATATATCACATCTTAGAGATCTCGGTCTTACAGCAGATGCTCCACATTTTGCTGCTGCCAGCCACTATGTTCATTGTATTTTCTTGGCCCATGTACTGTACCTGGAATATTTGGGCTTGTTCTAAATATAACCCAAGATTTGCTTGTATTGACAGAAACCCTACGTCTGTAAAATCCCTGGCTGCACGAAGCGGTACACAGACCCTAGTTCCCTCAGGAAACATGTCAAGACCGTGCACGGGCCTGATGCCCACGTCACGAAGAAGCAGCGCAACGATGTTCACCCGAGGCCACCGCCACTCAAGGAAAATGGGGACAATGAGGCAAGCGCCAAGCAGAGCAGCAAGGTTTCAGAGGAGAGCCCTGAGGCCAACAGCACCACGAGGAGCATGGAGGATTGCTTACAAGTCAAAACGATAAAAACGGAGAATTCTGTGGTAAGAGCACTTGCTCTTGGCAGAAATGACATGGCCCCTAATTTCTCCGATGCAATGGGGGCGTGAAGCATTTGCATGCCATTTACCTCTCCGGGCAGTTGCCCTTCACCTGCCAACACCCTAGCGTTCAAGCCCAGAGATGAAACTGCAGGTCAGGGCACAGTCCAGTACATTTTGCACCTTCCTACCCAGCATCACAAATTCCCGCCCTAGTAGTCATGGGGGCCACGTGATGCCCACTGTTGAGCTTGGCCTCCCTGTGCTGTGAAAAAAACTCAGAGTGTTGTGGTCAAATGAGCTTCACCTACGTCACCAATTTAAACCAAGCAACGACCATAGGGCACAGATTGATGAATGCTTCTTGGAGCAGAAGTCCTGGCTTAAGCAGTCCCTTTTCTCCTCCTCCATGCACCATTCACTGTTTTTCATTCCAGGCTGCTGCTGCACAGAAGTTTTACTGGCACAACTCTGTTGTAGGCTGCCTGATGAAGCCAGTGGGGATAAAAGTAGTTGTTTTATTTTTGTTGGGTATCTTAAAGCAAGTCCAATTCATTGGTCCTGTTCACCATACACGGAAGCACAGAATCTCTGGGGTTGGCAGGGACGTCTTGAGATCATCTAATCCAACCTCCATGCTCAAGCAAGGTCAGATAGAGCAGATTGCTCAGGAGTGCATGAGTTCAATACATGACCCCCAGCTGCCACAGGAAATTGTAGTGGGACAATGGGGCAGGGGAGTGAAACCAGGAATAAACATGGGAGCACAGAGAATGGGTTTGCAGTCAACCTGTGATCATGCTTTACAGCCCCGTGAGTGGCCACCAGCTGAAGCAAAGACATTTATCAGCCTTCTGGCCGTTACAGTAGCTCCACAGTAGGCAGTAGTGTGGCCGATTATGCTAACCAGGTGTGTACGGAGATGGGTCCAAACACGTTCAAGCCTCTCCCACCCAATGCAGGGAGCTCACCTGCTCCTCAGCACACCACTGCTGGTGGAGGAGATGGAGCATTACAACATACGGGTCATTTTTGACTTTTGACGTTTCTCTTCACCTTCATACCCAAATTTCTGGTCTGTTGCATCATCTCAGAGAGGGGCAGGGTATGGGCTGGATGCAGCAGAGAAGACCTTGACCTGCAAAGAAGGGTATTCACATAGTCCCCAGACTTCTTGCTAGAGCTGAAAGGACTTTGAGCTCCAAAATATATTTTCTTGATTTGAATCCAGAATAAAAAATTGTTATTCCTATGAACAACATGCCCTGGAGCTACAAAGATATTCTAAAAAAGGTTAAGGGATGTGTTGTTGGACAAATTACTAATGAGCAGCATGTTTTGGTTAGGAAGGAATTGAGTATTTTCACATCCAAAGTGTCTCTAATTGACTAAAGGAACAGTTTTACTGTGATGAGGCTCTGTATTGGGTTACAAAAAGTGAGTGTGAGAACCACTGGACAGAATGACCTCTGTCCAATACTCTTTCTCTGTGTGTTTTGTTTTTTTTTTCTATGAAAACACGGACACAATCAAAGCTCCCCACCCCACTTCTCCCGAAGGTGTGGGGTTGTTTTCCTAGGGCTGTGCGCTCCCAGGGTTGCAGCCAAGCCGTCTCGCTGGCGGCAGGGCCATGGGTTGGATGTTCCTCTCTGCTCTCCCCGTCCAGTGCCGCATACTTCACTTGTGCATATCTAACAAGCGGCATCTGACCTGACGGGCCCATGTCCAACTTCTGTTTCCTCGTTAAGGTCAGGGTGGTGGCAGGGGTGAGATGCTTCACTGGTTCCCATCATTCTGAGGCCCCTTGTTTTGATCTCTGGGTGTCATCCCAAACCCATGGAGATGGGTGGGAAGTCTCTCCTATCTGGGCCCCCAAAAAGGGAACACAGGGAAGACAGGGTACAGGAGAGAGGATGATGCTGGCAATTTGTGTTGTATTCTGCACTCCCCTCTTCCTCCTTTTACTAACGTGGTCCTTTCTGTTAATGCTGTCTTTGTCCTAACAACCTGTTCTTTATTCCCACTTTCCTTTTCTTACTGTACCTTCCTAAGGACAGTCGGTACTAAGGTGAGCAAAGAAATCCTTTGTATTAAAATAGCTGTATAAAGCATGGTCTTCTGCAGACCTCCTGTCTCCAGCCAACCCCTGCGGGGTGGAGACGGAAGCATCGGAAGGATGGGGAGGGACAGGGGATATTTGCTTGAGTGCAGAAAGGGGGAGGACACAGTGCCCGAGGATTCCCTTTAGCGCCTTTCTTCCAGCATCGCAACTTGCCATTAAATCCTGGGATTGCAATCTCTGTCATCCCAATTGAAGGGCTGTGAGGCCATTCAGAGCCAGTCAGCCCTGCCCACGAGGGCTGCTAAGAAGCAAAGTAAACCACTGCATCACCCCGCACTCCCACGTTGGCCTGGGGCAAAGTACGTTGCCTTTTCAGCACTCCCATTTCTTGCTGGAGCATGGGCCTCGAGTGGAGTGGCATCCTGCCTGGTAGCAGCAACAGCTACCTCAGTGCAAGTTCAGACCATTTAGTGTCTGCTGCATATAAACTGCTCAATGTGAAATGCAATTCCTAATGTAAATAAAATAAATATTTATGGTTCTTATCTGCCTTATCTGCAAGTGGGAGTTTGCAAACAGTGAACCAGGTTTTTATCTGGCGGGGAAGTTTGTCAGCTAACCTAATTATATGTTAGAGTATTTTAAAGACAGAAATACGTTGTGTCTGAAATACTTAGGCCTTGATCCTGTGTTAGATAAGCCAGTGCTTGCTGCAATATACCTTGCACAATCAGGTAATGTGCTGCTTTTCTTCGAGAAGCATCTGTCCTTAATCTTTTGGAGGAACAGCATTTGCTTTCTCTTCATCCTCCAGTTGAACCCACCATAGTTTTTCCAGCTGTGGGGTGCTGCCCTGCCCTTATCCCCCAAGGAAGGTGCCCCTGCCCTCTGGTAGAGCTGAGATCCTGCACCAGGGAAGAGAGGGGAGAGCCTGGGATAGGGCCAAACATGTGGAGCCTGCTGGGGATGTTGGGCTCCTGGTTTCTTTCCATCCATGTTTCCACCTGCCCAACTCCTCCTCTTTTCCTTCCCCAAGATGTGTCAGTCCAGCCCTGGTGGCCAGTCGTCATGCAGCAGTGAGCCGTCACCCCTTGGCAGCACCAACAACAATGACAGTGGAGTAGAAATGAACATGCACAGTGGGGGAAGTCTGGGAGATCTGACAGCGTTGGATGACAACGCTCCTGTTGTGGACTCAACGGTCTCATCTGGTAATTCGACAGTCAGCCTGCAGCTAAGGAAACACATGACGACGATGCAACGACTTGAACAGCTCAAGAAAGAGAAACTCAAGACAGTTAAAGATTCCTGCTCATGGGTGAGCCCAGCCCCACAAGCCAGAAACACCAAGCTGCCTCCCATCTCAGGAAACGGTAAGCCCTGGGCCTGGGCCATTTTTTGTAGGAACCCTCCAGAGTTTGACTCTGGTTTCATAACCAAGAGTCTGCCCTGGAGGAGGATCATTTCTTACTGCCTCTGAGTCAGCCCTTGCTGGATAGAGATGCCAGGTAAAATGGAGAGCTTGGGTGTAAACACAGCCATCTGGTGATGTGCAACAGAAATGCAGATGCTCAGCGCTGCAGAGCTATGAGGGGAGGCAGAAGTGTTGGTGTCTTTCTTGATTCTGGGCTTGCCCAGGACCCGGCCATGGCTGTCCTCACTGTCACAGTGGCAGCTGCAAGATTGCTTGGGTTTGTTCTAGCAGTAACAGGTCCCCAAGAGCTAATGTGCCTCCTGGGAGACTGCTGGAGCACAGCAGTAATCCAGACAAGCCCTCTGCCCCTGATCTTGCTCTGATAGGCCTTTTGTCACTTGAAGAGCTCGTGGCTATTGCCTACAGCTTCATATGCTAGTTTTCCGCTGGCTGGGGATTCCTGATAAAAGCATCTTTATGATCCCTTCAGTGCTCCTCTAACTTTGCCAAGAAGTCCCAGGGCATAGGGCCTGGGTTTACTAAACCTCAGGGCTTAGTGTATTGGAGCTTCTTGGTTTACTCTGGGAAGAGCCTTTGAGTGTCAACTTTTGGGCTCTCAGCCTCCTATCCCTGGCTGCTGTGCATCTGTCCCAGTGAGCAGCTGTGATTGTAGCTACATGCTGTCCCCGTGGCACTGTTCACACCAGTCCTACTTTTTTCCTGCTAAGAGAAGCCCATGTGGAGGCACTTCCTCAGCAGCTGAGCATCAGTGGGGTACACATTGCAAAGACTCTCCAATAAGGACTTCTTGTCTTCTCTCCCTGGTGTTCTTGCTCTTTGTACATGGACACAGAGCTGGAGATGAAGCTTTGAATTCACTGACAGCAAATGAAATTCACTATCATTCCTGTAAAATATTTGGGGGTTACTGTGTGTGTCTGTATTCAGGCACCAAAACCACTAGCACGTGGAATTTCTCAGCTAACTAAACCTTTTCCTTCCCTACAACTTTTCTCTCAGGCTCTATTCTAGAAAATAGTGGTGGTTCTTCTGCTACGCTGCCTAATCCCAGAATAATGGAGCTGTCTGTCAATGAGGTTACGATGCTGAACCAACTCAACGAGCGCCGTGATAGTACAACAAGCACCATCAGCTCCGCCTACACCGTCAGCCGCAGATCATCAGGGATCTCCCCGTACTTCTCCAGCCGCCGTTCCAGTGAGGCTT